TTCAGCTCTGACTGGATGGAAAGTGAAATGTCTTCAAAGAAAAGCCAGAAAGTCTAGTTGCCTGTTGAAAAAGCACCTTTGGGAGACAACCATGACCTGGATGATAGAGAACCTCCATTGACACTACGTTTTCAACTCTACAACAGGATTGTAGTCAAGAATCAACTATTCAATAGCACAACATTGGAAAACAGCATGGACCCTCCAATGGTATTGAATGTCAACATTGATTTATATAGCTCTCTCATCAAAACAACTCTGGGTGGCGAACAGAATTTAAAAGGAAAATAATATAAATAACTGTAAATATGATTAAAGAAAAAGAGAAATAGTAGGCTAATGTACTAGGTTCATGATCTGTGGAACGTAACGGCAGAGAAGGGAGACAAAGATACAGGCATGACTATGACTGTAACCTTATAATGAAGGTAATATTCACATTCATGATTTTGGTTTTCTGTCTGGACTCCCTGGAAGGGCTGAAACATGAGCAGATTGAAAATGTTCATTATGACACAGCACTGTGCAAGTTTTTTTTTTAATATTACAGTTGCCAAATCTTAAGAACAAAAAATGTATCCCAGTTTAGTATGGATAAATTGTTTTAATGCAAGTGAAGTGCGTTCCTTACTAAGAGCTGAATCAATTGAATCAATTTAGATTTCTTTTTTCCTCTTGATGAATATTTATTTGTTAAACAAATATGTATATTAATTTTCCTGAAGAAGTGAGTTGGGTTTTCATGGAATCTCCAATTCCCCAGCTGCTCAACTTACAAACGAATTGCAAAAACATCAGTTCCTGCCATTTATTAATGAGGAGTCACTCACTGGAGTATGTGGGGGTAATCTCATAATCTCTATTTTCTCTTACCAGCAATTTCAGCTGAAATGTCCTCTCTACTTTTTAAGGAACATCTTCAATTCACCATGTTCTCATTTGAAGCTGATAAGTAAATGTAATATTTAAGAACATGAGGTTCAGCCAATCCTCCTTCCTTAATCACTTTGGAATTAATTTTTTATTGCTCTTTAAATATTGAGATCTTTCAGCACTGGCAAACTTTATGACATTCACTGGGTGAATTTCAGTCCATCTTTTGTGAAATAAATTTTAACTACAAGTTTAAGNTGATGTAGCATTTTGTTCAGTTAAAAATTATAGCAATGAGTATACAGTAGTTGTAATATATAGATATGGCCACAGCAGAGCAACTACATGAGCTCAATCAGAAGCTACAGAACATCATTTGGAAGCTTTTTTGGTATGTAATATATGTTTATTCTATGCTTGAGTTGCAGGAGTGTGGAGCTTACTCGTTTTTTTTGTCTTCTTAGGCATAATGACAATAAGACTTTCCTTGTGTGGATCAATGAGGAAGATCACCTTAGAATTATTTCCATGCAAAAAGGTGGAAATATGAAAGAGGTTTTCGCTCGCTTCTGTTCTGGGCTAACCCAGGTAAATATAATTGGTAATGGAGGCATGTGAACTTTGCCCCAGGATCTAAGTTGGTGCAACCTTCTCTACAATATCCAACTCAAAGTGCTGATTTAAATACAGTACAGACGTTAGGGCAAACATATATCAGGATGTAGTGATGATAATGGTTTCGAATTATCTGTTTAGGCAGAAGTAGCAGTACAGTGAGCTTGAAAGTAAAAATACAGATCCTTCCTGTCCTGGAGACTTCTTGAATATCACTCTCCCTGTTTATTGAAAAAATAGAGGCCAAATAATAGTGATGTATAATGTATATATTCCCTTATGTCTCTAGCCAGAAATCTTGAATGACTTGCAGATTTAAGCCATTCTCCAACTCAGTTGCCTGTCTTGTACTAAAAGATAGTTATATGCAACTTCAGAAATGAGTTTCCAATAGCAGAGAGGGCTAGTCCCAGCATATCTCCAGTCCCAGCATAGCTTATAATGAGGTTTGGCCATTGCTCTTTCTAACATTTCTAACATAATGGTGTCAGTGCTGTAGTATGCCACCATAGTTGAGGTCTCTTTAATAGAAATCTCTTTAATTATTTTAATCTATACAGTAATTTCCTATATCCTCTGGGCACATTAGGGTGCCCAAAATGATAATACAAACAGTAAAGAAATAGTAATAAGTGAATCTCAGAATCAAAATTTCATCTTTCATTCATTTAAGATGAAAGTATATTAGCCCTATCCATCTATTAGGGATAAAACAAGAAGCTCTAAATTGTATTTGCTTTGTATGTATGGACTCTGTTTACTTTCTAGTATGCTGGGAACTGCATTTCAGCAAATGGTCAGACAGAAAGGAGGGAAAATAGTACTTTTGATTATTTAAGTTCAGAAATAATGTGATATAATTTACTTCCCATACATATTATTCTATATATGGCATATATAATATGGCATATTAAAGGGGTTACATTTTGGTGGCAGTCTTTGAATGAAGTCTGCAGATTGCACCAAATATTTGACGTCTTCATATAACCCGGAGACCTTAATTTGGGCCATCCTATGCCAATAGTGTTACTTTCCATCAAGTTGAGGTTCTACTTTGAAGAAATGCAGAGTGGGAGACCTACTTTTCATGAAGAACCTTGCTGCATATCTCACTCTTACTGTATAGTGCTGGCTCCACTTTTATGTATGGGAACTAAACTACCTTCACCCAAGGGGTCAACAATCTCATCCAGCAATCTTTTATATGATCATGACAATCCCACTGCTGAGCCACTGATTGTTGTATATGAATGCCAAAGATTCAATTATTTTTACCTGGATTCTTGTCTGAGCTCATATAAATGTGCTGGCCATAATTTGTCAGGGTTCCAAGTAACATACCCTTAGCAAACAAAACTACTGAATTCATCAAAGCATAAGTTTATTGGATATATCATATAGGGCTGGTGAAAACCGACTCTGACAATTCCCACAGTTTTCACCTAATTAAAAGAAAAAGTTTTTCACTTTCTCAAAACAGTCACATGGTCCAATCAGGATACTGTCCAGTTGCTAGGTAATGACTCCAGTCCCCTCCTCCTGAGCATCTGCAGGAATGTCCTTGGTTCCCAAGAGAAAGTATTTTGTTTTGACTACAAACCCCAACTATATCCCCTCCCTGTCCCTCCTCTACAATATGTCAGTGCTGAAGTCTCAAAATGGCCCCAGTCAGGCCAGCTTTAGAGCTGACATTATTTAACATCAGAATCTGCA